GTGGCAGGGAGGGTGGGGGGTGGCGGCCAGGGGACCCTAAAATAGAATTTTGTTTTAAATGCACATGGAGAGGTTCTTATCTGAACAAGTTCTTAGCATTGTTTCTTTCATAAACATGGAGAACCTCCAGGATATCTGTTTTGTCGATTCAGACTTCCACATTCTTTCACGTTGCAAGCATTCTGGAGTACCTATTATGTAGAAGGCACCATCAGGAAAGATTTTGGATGGATAAAGGTCTTTAACCGTTGGGGCTGGAGCGTGGGTCCCCTTCTGTCCAAAGGAGAGGCCTGGGGGGCCCCACGCTCCCCTGGGAAACTGTTCGGCCCCCAGGCCCTGAGAACTGTGACTGTTTGAGCTGGGTGCTGACCGGAGGTGGACCCATCTCTGCTCTGGAATTGTCAGGTTTCCTTTTCATTCTGTCTCAGTTTTCACACCCCGTAAATCTGCGGGAGATGGTGGGGGAAGCTGAGCCAGCGCCTCTCCCTGCCTCGCTTTTTTCCCCAGAACAAGGACCTGCAGGCGAGGGTGAGGCAGTTGGAGTCCTGTGAATGCCGCGCGGCTTCTCCCCAGTGCTGGGGCCTGGGGCGGGCCTGGCCCGAGGGGGCTCGCTGGGAACCTGACCCCTGTACGACCTGCATCTGCCAGGATGGGGCCGCACACTGTGACCCTGTGCCCGGCCTGCCCCACTGCAGCGGTGAGTGCCATCCACCTGCCCTCGAGGGCCTGGACGTGAGCCTAAGTGCCTGAGTGACGGCTCTATCTCTTCAGGCTGCAGCCACAATGGTCAGGCCTATGGTCATAGGGAGACTTTCTCCCCAGATGCCTGCACCACCTGCCACTGCCTGGTGAGTTCCGCGACCCACCTGAATATCCTATACCTGTCCCCTCACCTGTCTGTCTCACTTTATAGCTACCTGTCGCTGCAGCCTAGTGTGCCGAATGTTAAGTGATGGGGTCTTCCTGCCCCTCCCCCTCCCCTACCCCCGGCCTGGCTACACATGGCCGTCAGCTCATTCTGAGTAGTTCTACTTCCTGGAACTCAGCCCCCATGCTCACGGCGGGGGCTCCCAGGCCCCTATGATTTGGGCCTGACAAATGGTGGCACGGAGGACAGAGAGGATGGTGTCGCCCGCCGTCCTGCATTGCCCCCTCACCTGTGGATGTCCTCCAACTGCCCCTGCCAACTACCCGCCTGTTCTCTCTCACCTGGCTCCACATCCACCGTCTGGCCTTTTCTTCCTCACTCCATTGAGGAAGGCCCCGGTCCCCTTTCTAGGATCTCTCCACTCTGGGAATTTGCTGGCACCCGGAAGAAATGATTTCTGGGATCAAGAGTGTCAGGAGGTGATGGGCTGGGGATAGGACGTCTCCTCCCTGCCCTCAGACCAAGGGCGGCTCACGTCCCCTGAGCCAGTTTAGCCTCTCGCTCCTCCGGCGTGTCCCAGCTTGGGGCGAGGTTTCGGGTCTGGAGGCCCTGCCCTCCCGGATTCCGATGTCTGCGCAGCCAGCAGTCTGCCTCCCCACAGGAAGGAGCCGTAACCTGTACCCAGAAGCCATGCCCAAGAGGACCCTGCCGGGAGCCAGGAGCATGCTGCCCACACTGTGAGCCAGGTCAGACTCCTGCCAGCCCCAGCCTTGCCTCCTGCACTTGTTCTGGAGCCCCCAGAGCCATGTTCTGCCACACGTCACAGGCCCAGAGGGTGCCTTGCCCACTCACTCTGCCAGTGGCTAGGGGATTTCAAAACCGAAGCACAGTCAGCAAATACTACCTCTGGCCTGGGACTAAACCAGAGGCCCTGTATGATCTTTTACCTGCCCTCGGGGAGCTTCTAATCTAGTTGAGAAGATAAATTTATAGCTAATATAATACAAGATTTAAGATCCAATGAACAGATTAAGAGGAGGTATAGAAAGGCAGTAAGCAGTTAATTGTCAGAAGAGAAGGCGGGAAGGCAGGGAAGGCCCACCCAGACTAGGTGTCAAGGTGAGCTTTACAGACAGTCGGCTGGATCTTCAAGGGAAAGGGGGATTTCACTTGAAGGAGACAGTACTTAAGGAAGGGCCCTCTGGGTGCAAGAACAAGGTGGGGGGAGGTGTGTTGCAGGAAAGCAGTCCGGGAAGGCCAGGAGAAACAGCCTGCTGCTATGAGCCTTGTAATTTGGACTTTCTTCTGTGGGCACTGGGGAGCCATTGAAAGTGGAAGAGCGAGTGTAGCATGTTCAAAGAGGTGTTTTGGGAATATTCATCTGATACGGGCTAGATGCAGAGAGAGCAGTTAGGAGGCTAGCACGGCGGTCGTCTAGGCATGGAACCAGGGATGGCGCTGCGCTGCAGAAGGAGGGGTGTTTTTAAAGAATGAGCAGGAGCTGGCGACTGGGTGGATCCCATGGAATAGTGGGGAAGTAGGAGCACAGTAGTGCCAGCGACACGGGGAGAGAGCTGGGAGGAAGCGGAGGCAGCGCTCTGCCGGGCGGCATTACCGGCTCTTTGTCGGGGAGACAGGGTTGCCAGATTTAGCAAATAAAAATACGGGATGCTCTATTAAATTTGAATTTCAGATAAACAACCTATACTTTTTTATTGTACATAAGTGATTTGGAACATCCTTATACTTCAAAAGTGTGGGTTGTCTAACTTATCAACGTAAGAAATGTCCAAATCTATAGAGAATTTTAAAAAGAGTTTATTCGAGCCCAAACTGATGACAGTTGCTAGGAAGCAAGCTCTCAAAAGCTCTAAAGAATGACAGTTTTGCAGTTTCCTTTAGGCATTTGAAATTAGGGGAAGAACATAAAGCAGATTACACGAAGGTGGGAGAAAGCAAGGTGGAGATTGGCTCCAGGATAGGTAAGGTCATGTGCCCTTCTGAAGGTGAGTAGGCTTATTCCAAAGGTGTGTTAACCTAGATGCACAGACACAATGGACAGGGCTTGCTTAAGGCAAAGATCAAGCTTTTACCAAAGAACTGTATGCTTGGGTCATGACTACCCACCGTGACCTGCACAGTTAGGTCCCCCTGTGAGGTGACTTTCCATAAAACCCTTTTTTTCATACACAATCTGAAATTCAAATTTAACTAAATTTTATCTACTCTACCCCAGGAAAAAATCTCATCTGGTAGTGGGAAAGGTGGATGTCTGGAAATGTAGCCTGGGAGTCTTGGCCAGAGATGAGGAGCAAAGTCTTGGGAGTTGATGGATCTCAAAGACAAGACATGCACACACACACTCACACACAGGCACACACACACACACACCCGTCCGTGGGACACGTGGTGCCTCAGGGCCACTGCTAGCCCATATGATGTCTTTGGTAGACTTTTTATAAAAGGCACCCTTCCTCAACAATTCCATCTGTTGTAAAATAATGGAAATCTACTGAATGTGTTAGAGTCAGACACTTTACTGCCACCTGCTGTAAAGTTGTAGTAAATACCAAAATCTTTGCTGTCTATCACCTGAATGGGGCCCCTTCACTATGGCACCCTCAGAGGTGCTTTTGCCCTAGGACTCTGGGTCTCTTACTTAGAGGCCTGGCCTTGATTTTGCAGGCTGCCCTGGAGGTCACAGAGCTGGGGAAACTTGGCAACTGGAGCCCTGTGTCACTTGCACCTGCCAGGTAAGGGAATCGGAGCCTGGCCCCAGCCACCACACTACCCTCGGCCTGGCAGTGTCAAGCCCGATCTGGCAGTCAGATAGGGCTGCTGCCGCTGCCCAGGCATTGAGGTCTGGAGCCTGCTAGGCCTGCTAGGCCAGCGGGGTGACTCAGTAACGGGCAGTGGAGAGGGAGGGAGGGCTCAGCGTCTGCCCCACAGGCAGGGACCGTGCGGTGCCAGGGGCCCTCATGCTCAGAGCTCAACTGCCTGGAGAGCTACACCCCACCAGGAGAGTGCTGCCCCGTCTGTCGGCCAGGTGACCGCCCCATCCTGCCTTGCCCCTCCATCCCCCGAGGGTCCAGTACCTACTTGGGGTTATACCTTCCCTTGGGTGATGTCTGCTCACCCTGCTCTCTGCTGACCAGCCTGTGATCCTGGCAACCCTCCCCAGGCTGTGAGTACGAGGGGCAGCTTTATGAGGAGGGGACCAACTTCCTGTCCAGCTCCAACCCTTGTCTCCAATGCTCCTGCCTGGTGAGTCCCCCTACAGCTTTACCCAGGCCCTGCTCCTCCTGGACGCCCACCACCCTGCCCCGGGGCCACTCTTTCAGCCCCTCACATGCCTTCCAAGGCCTGGCACCAGTGAGGTTCACTCTCTGTCCTGACCCTGTGCCCGACCCCTCCAAGGGTGCCCGACACCTGCCCACTCTGCTCTCCCTGGGAAGCAGACTCAGAGACTTTATAGCTGTTGTTATATTACAGAGAAGCCTGGTTCACTGTGTGCCCATGAAGTGCCCACCCAGCCCCTGCCCTGAGCCAGTCCTGAGGCCTGGCCACTGCTGCCCGACCTGCCAAGGTGAGCCCTACCCCTTCCCTGGCGGAGCTGCAGCTGGGCTGTCACACCATTTCTTCAACTCCAGAGCCCACTCCACTGGCTCTGACCTAGGGGTTTGGTCAGTGGGGCCACCATGCCCGGCCATGCCTGCTCTAGAGGCGGAATGACTGAGCTCAAATTCTGCCCTTGCCACTTCATGGCTATGGGCCTCTGAGTGAGCTACTCTGTGCCTCGATTCCCCTTTTGTAAGGCGTAGATAATGATATTCTATGTTAGTAATGTTGACTATTATCCGCTTTGTGCACATAAGACCCAGGGTAGGCCTTCGAGGCAGACCACTAGAGAGTGACACGGAGTCACATACCAATACTGTCGCAAAGGCAGAAATAGCAGCAGGCCCCAGGTACTATGGAAACTCAGAGGAAGGAGAACTAATCCAGCCTGGGCAAAGGAGGAAAAGCGTCCTGGAGGCAGCGTGTCCTGAGCAAACCTTAAGGATAAAGAGCAGTTACCTAGGTGAAGGGTGAAACAGGGCAGAGAGCACCCCAGAAAGAGAGGGCAGCTAGGGCAAAGGCTTGGGACTGACACTCAGTGTGAGCTGGGTGGATGTTAGGTGGGAAGGTGCAAGCAGACAGGAATGGCCTAATCTTACAGTAAGAGGTGGGAAGGGGCCAGAGAGAGGTGGGGAGGTGGGCTTGGCCGTGCTAGGTCCTGGAAGGCCTGGATGGGCAAACTAAGGAGCTTGGCCTTACCCAGCCTGGGACACTGGGAGTCGCCAAGGGGTCTAGGCAGAGGCGTGACCTGATCTGGTCTGGGCTCAGAGGAGCGCCCTCAGAAGGATAGAGGAGGATGGGGGCGGGCTAAAGCTGGGATCCCGGCTGGCTGCTGCCAGGCCTCCTCTTGGCCCCTCTCTCTCCCAACCCCAGGCTGCACAGAAGGTGGCTCTCACCAGGAGCATGGCCAAGAGTGGACTGCACCTGGGGACCCCTGCCAGATCTGCCAGTGCCTGGTGAGCCTCAGTGCTGCTCCTGGGCTTGCCCCAGCCCTCCTCTCCCCCAGGCCCACCATATTTATCCCTTCGTTCCACTGAGCACATCCCAAAGGCGCTGTGAGGGGACAGAGATGGAGAGGAGCTGATCCTGGGAGCTGTGAGGGTGGGGGTGGAGTCGTGCCTGCCTGTATGCTGAGCTCTGAGCACAGGAGTTGATATCACAGGTTTGTGAATGGAACTCAAGGAGCTTACAGGCTACAGAAGTGAGGCAGGGCAGGATGCGACAGGTGGCAGCTCTAGGGAGGGACAAATGCAGATTGACTTGAGGCATCTATAACCGTGTTGTCTGATCAGTAGCCACAACTGCATGTGGCCACTGAGCCCTTGAAATGTAGCTATTCAACTTGAGATGGGCTAAAAAGCATAAAATACACACCGGATTTCAAAGCTTTAGCATTAAAGAGAGGAATGTAAAATATCTCATTCATACTTTGTGTTGATTATAGATTGAAATAACATTTTGGATATATTGGGTTGAGCGGTATATATTATTAAAGTCTAGTGTCATTTGTTTCTTTTTATTTTTTTGAAATTTAGGTACTAGAGAATTTGAAATGACATATGTGGCTTGGGTTATATTTCTGTTGGGCAGCACAGCTGTAGAAAATCTTCATGGAGGGGTAATGTTTACCTGGGTCTTAAAGGGCGAGTAGGATTTGAGCAGAGAGAAATGGGGAAAGATACCCCAAGGTGATGGTGTTTGGAGGTGGGGCCTTTAGAAGTTGAATCGGTCATGAGGGTGGAACCTCGTGAATGAGATCCGTGCCCTTACGGCACCCTGGCCCCCTTCCACAGTGTGAGGACACAGCCAAAAGACAGCCACCTATGAACTAGGAAGCAGATTCTCACCAGACACTGAAACTGCTGGTACCTTGATCTTGGACTTTTTGACTTCCGCAACTGTGAGAACTAAATGTTTTTGATGAGCCACCCAGTCTATGGGATTTCATTCCAGCAGCCCAAATGGACTAGGATGCCAG